AAGAAGGTTAGTCACGCAAAGCGCAAACGAGCCCTGCGTAGGAGTGAGTCGTTGTCGGGCGCGCAGGGGGGGGAGGCCATGGATAGAGCCTCGCGGACACAACGGAGTTGCTGTAAGGTTTACAAACCGACAGAATTTTCATGGTTTTTTCTTATTACCGGGAGGTGCGATGGTGTACAAAGTGTAAAGACGCACAGTATCTACACTACTCATCAATTTGTCTTCTTTTAATTAATCGCTGACGATGATTCCTATAAGGGCCCGAAAGCTCGGAGGAATAAGCCGACTGTAGGGCGATTAATCCTCTCCCGCTTTTGCATTATCCTTATTTCCACAAAGTGGCCTTTTATCTGCATAGACTGCCGTTGTTTCCTCACCATCATCCCATAGAAAGAAATTGTTTGAAAGAATAGTGACCACAAATTGAACTATTTCAAATGCAAGCGGCACCCAAAACTCGGAAAGGGTAGCTTATATGGCCCCCTACACGGGATACGGAAATATGAGCACCCATCTAAGTAATAAAAGTGGCTCTGAGTACAGTTCCGGGAAAAGTAAAGATTTCTTTATCATAGCCCTAAAACTGGTCCAATGCAAAAATAAACCACAGCCCTAATTGATGAAAGTTCACCAACCACTAACGAAACTCACTTGTCCCGATCCGTCTTTACCTTGGGCCTTATTTCTCGGGCCCTGACAGCAGCCGTAATTGATAGTAGTCTTAGGCAGATAGTATTGCCGGCAAAAATAAGGGAGACTGGAGTGGCCATACCCAGCGTGAATGTTCATCAACGGACGTCAGTAACTCCTGACCTAAATCGGCGAGACAACAAGTCTGTGGTTCAGTAGTTAGAGCGTTAGACTCTGATCAGAAAGGCCAGGAGTTCGAGTCTCAATTGGTGCATAACTTGTGGCTGTGTATGGCTGGCTGATGACGGCTAATAAGCCGGAAATTGCCATCCCAGCCTCCCTCATTTTTACCGAAAATACAATCTACCCACAGCCCTAATCCTTACCCTATCATCAACTCTCATTCTAAATTTGAAACTGATGCTAACCTAAACCTTAAACTCAACGCCAACTTACCCTAATGCCAAACTAAATCCTAAATTACCCCATGACAACCGTAGCGCTAACCCTAAATCTAAACATTTTCCTCGGACACGTCTATTGCGAGCAATTCATGTTCTCGTGTCCTCTTTATGCGCTAAATATAAATCATTCCTAACTGAAAATCTCGTAGAAGTTTACGCACAAAAGGGAAGG